TGCACTCTAAATACAATAAATCCTGACGATACCCAACATTTATTTTTCTAAAAGATTTCCGAAGCACATCCTTATCCCCCCCTTCCAGATAACCCACTATCACACCTTTTCAAAAAACAAAAATATTCATTATATGAGATAGATTTCGTTTATTTTCAAAATAAAGTACAAATTAAATAATTGATATGAATTTCTGCACTTAACGACACATATTTGAATCTAACAATTATCACCCCAAAAAGTTATTTGGACAAGAAAGACATTTTCATAAAAAGATATATTACAAACAAACAAAATATATACGAATTTTTTTTGTACGTCGTATCTTGAGGATAGGAGCTCGTTAATTTTCTTATAATTTAATTCACTTTGCCAGAAAAAATTATTTATACATTTTCATTAAAAATTGATATTTAAAAAAAACATTTATTTGGCCGTTGCATCTTAAGGATAGAAACCCGTTGATTTTGGATGACCTTGAAAATTTTTTTATTACACATGGGTCTTCACTGTCCCACCACATTATCCTAGCAATTAATCACTACACCGGGCCCACTTTTTCACCCGGATATTTCTCTTGACTTAGCTTTCACCCATACTTTCGATTAACACCCATTTCCTTTTACTCACATACATTATGGCTTACTTCAAACTTTCCATCACTCTCCTGTTCACCTTCTATCTCTTCCTTCTCTTAATCCAAGTTCTGGGACCTAAAAACTTTTCCGACGGAGACAACCCCTCTCCCTTCCAGCTATTATTATTATCATAGACCACCGATACCCATATCTCACATTCTTTTCATTTAGTATCAACCAATGAAAGAAAGAAAAAAATCGAGAATGAGTTATATAAAACTCTCTTCTAGCAAGAATATAATTTTTAGGTTGTATAAATTACAAATACAAATGAGTAAAATTTCGTTGAAAATATTTTATTGTGCGGATAAAATTAAAGCTACTAAATTTACATTTTTACTCATTTATTTCTATAAAAAAATATATGAGTGGTTAGAATAAATCATAATAACAAAATGCAATATCGAACACAAATAATATAAAATAAAAAATATTATAGCTACATAAACTAGTACCAGTGTTGTTAATCGACTTAGTCGAAAACTGAGCCAAGTTTTGGGTAGGAATTATATATCGAATAGTTCTATGAACTTGAGTTGACAAGAGGATTTCAATTATTAATTAAGATGTTTGTTTTGTTTTTTACATTTTTTACTAGTGTTGTTAATCGACTTAGTCGAAAACTGAGCCAACCCAAAGTGACTTGATTTATGAACTTGGGTCGAGAACTCAAATTAATTCGAGGCGTGAACTCAAGTCGACTCGAGGCGTGAATATGAGTCGACTAGAGGACGAATATTTCAAATTATTTTTTATTATTTATTAACAAAACAGTTATATTTTCTATACTTCAAATTTGAGTAATGATCGTGAATACGAATTATATCCTTGAGTCGACTATTGCTTTATACTTACAATTTGAGTCGTGAATACTCAAAATGATATCAAGTTCAATTTTTCATGTTATTTTAGGCTAAATAATTAGTCTTGTTAAATAACTCGAATTTAGCCGATTTAAATTAACATTTTAGCCAAAACCAATTATATACTTCATTATCTTATTCCACATTTTATTTGATCAAATTCTTATACATTTTTTGATTGAATACTGTATTCTAAAATAATAAAATATTAAGCAGGTATCTGAATATTTTTATATTATATCTTAACTATTATTTGAATTTTACATAGGAAAGGCAGACGTTAATCAAAACTATGAGCGGGTGTGTGAATTTTCTGTAGCACTCCTTCTCATCTATATTTATAATTTTTATAGTCCCTTTTTTAGTCATTCTTTTAGATAATTATTTTATAAAATATTTTATTTATTCATAAATTATTAATAACTATTAAAATATTTAAAAAATACCCTCTTTGGTAAATAATTATTCTTATCTTGGGTAATTGTGATGTAATATTGGTTTAAATCTTTGTAGATAAGAATTATGATGACTATAATCTTATAATATTATTTAGCATTTAAGAATTTATTTCTTACAAAAAATCAACAGTCTTTCTAAATTATAATAATTAATAATTTTTTTAAGTATCATATCCTTAAAAAAATTACCATATATTAGATTTTTTTTTTTTAAATTTATTCGACCTTTTTATTATTTTTAAAAAAAATATTATAAAATAAATTATATAATTTACAGAGATTATTAACAATTATTTTTAATATATTACATTTTTTTTAAAAAAATTTTAAATATAATAAACAAATACATAACTTAATTGTGTTGAGATGATTTAATAAAACATGTTGATTAAATAAAAACCCATCCCATTCTAGATAAAAATATTTTGTTTGAAAATAAATAAAATAACACATTTGCAATTTATAAAATAATTTAAAATAATCTTCATTTTTTTATAAAATTTTCTATCTTTTTGAGTGAGTTAAAAAATACACAATTTTTTTTTGGGTAACTTAAAGTCAAATTATGATAATTGGTAACTTATTTTTTCGTTGTTTATTATATTTTCTATTAAATTTACATATTATAGTTTCGAATGACTTGTGAAATCTTTATTTAATGTATATTTATTTTATAAAAGATCTAAATATATTTAATTTTCTAATTGTATTGCGCATAATATAATAAAAAATATATATACTAACAATTCAAATTTTTCTTTAATTTCATATTAGAAGTTATTTTCTTTTTTTGAAATTTTTAAATCAAAATATAAATCCATTCTTTTTTTGCGTTTTAAAATAATTTCCGGTATTAACAAAAATGGATTCAAAACGGTTCCATGTCAATTCAGCGAAACTTTTATCACGTATAAATTTTATAGCGAAACTTTTATCGCGAATTCACATTAGCTATTACGTTTCAACGAAGACAATATCGCGAAACCTATAAAGCGAATACATTACAGCGAAACTTTTATCGCGAAACTTTTATCGCTAGTCAATAATCACGAAAATTTTATAGCAAAATTATTATCGCGAAACCCAAATGGCGAAGACTATATAGAGAAAACTATTTAGCTAAGATATTATAGCGAATTTAATACGAAGTCAATATCAAGCGATAATTATTTAGTGTTATTAATTAGTCTAATTCTGTCGTAGTCGAGGAAATTAACTAAAAACTTTAGCGACTAAATTAGTCGATAGTAAAGTTGAATCATTTAATCGGCTTAGTCGAACCATTTAGTCGGCATAGTTGACCCATAGTCGACTAAATTGGTTAGAGCAGAACTTGCATCACTGTATAGTCGGAGTAATAATTAAATTGTAAACATGGTAAATTGAGATTTAAGTGAAGATGAACCGTAGAAAAGTGACAATTTTCATATAAACCTAATTTTTTAAAATTATTATGATGCAAATAAGTAAAAAAATATATTATAAACATGATGGAAAAGTGTCAATTATCATAATCGTTGGTTTTAAACTTTTTTGAATTTTTTTAAAGCAAATGGGTTAAAAATAAATTATTGAATAAGATTTTTAAATAAAATGTAACATATATCGTAAAAGAACGATAAAATTCTCATTCCCCGTCATTTTTTACTAGCTATCTATTAGTTAATATAAACTTCGCAGAAATATAAAAAATCCAAATAATATCAATCTGGGAAAAACTATCTATGTAATCATATTGTCAGAAAAAAAAATATATACTCAAATATACATCATAGACCGGCATAATCGGCCTTAATCTCTGCCTGAATACATAGATCGGGTGATATTTTTAAATATACCGGGGTCAGGTCTAAAAAAATTTAAATACCCGAGCCAATGTAGCGTTGTAGATAGATTTGTATCTTTAGGAAACAATATACGCAGCCTGAAAGATTTGGAAATCAAGATTTAATCAAAAAGTATGCAAAGTAAATAAATGAAAATATATTAATATTTTTTAGAAATGGAGGAAGATAATTATCAAGACATCAATTAATTAGGTGGTGTTAGAGCTAACTTTAAATGAAGATCTCTAAGATTTAACCTGGTTAATGAGATTTTACATAAAAGTTAAACTATTTTTATGATATTAAATCATTATATAAATTTTAGAAAAATCGTTATATATGAAGAAAAAGGGATATCTATAGGTGTCAACAAACTTTATACAATAATAAATAAAAGGTTAACAATTATATTTTTAAGGATTAATTGGTTACACAGCATAATTACATAACCTAAAATATAATTTATCTTCTGCTTAATCTAACTCTAATCAGATCCAGATTTCAGTTATTTCTACTTAGGGATAGTTAGGTCCCGATAAGATTTTAGGTTTAATTATTTTTATTGATCCTCTTTTAAAATTATACAATCAGCCACAAATATCTGTTTTCCAAACTTAAGTTTCATTTGAACTCGTAAAAGACCTTATTTTTACATTTTCTAAAAAAATTTCATTATATATTTTAAATATTAATATTTGTCTGAAATTTTAAAAAATGGTGTATGAAATATTCCAATCTTTTATAGTGAACGCAATTCGTAGAAAGTAGTTCCACGTGTACATATTTCAGAAATTTAATCCCATAAAAATTGAAGACGCGTAGGTTAGGCGTAGCTACATATTTATAAAATTTAATTTAAAATTTTATTTTTAGAAGAATTTAATTAAAATAATATTGTAAAATTTATTATATTATAATTTAGACATTATCGAAATAACATGCATGAAGATAATAGAGACTATAATAAGGCATGTGAGAGATGTCAGAAATTAGATAGTGGATTTGTGAAGAATGATCTAATTTTAAAAAAGAATAAGCATAGATATATGTCTATTCCCGCATTAGGAAAAAAGCGCATTGTGTTGAGAAATATTGAGCAATATTGGTTAGGTTATTTTCATATGGTTAAATATTATAAATAATCTTAAATAAATATTGTCATTTTAGATATAAATATTTTATCCCATAATTTATAAAACAATAAACTAAAAATTAAATAGATGATTCTCAAATAGCTGGCCATTCTCAAAGAAACGAAGGGGTCATATATTAAGCTATTTCAAATAATAGTGGAATATAGCACATTAAATGGTATCCATTTTTTGCCAGAGGAGCAATATCTGCTCAATTTGTATTTCCGAATATTTTAATAAAGGGTAAATTTTAATTTTTAAAAGTTGTAACATAATTTATTTCTATGCTGCTTCTTTCACTTAGCCGTTTGACATAAAGTTCAGCATTTAGTCTTGGTAAAACAATATAAAGAAAGAAGAGTCTACTGTGTACACTATTGTTCGAAGGATGAGCATACTTCCTCTATGCAAGAGAGAAGACATTGAAGTAGTCGGTGATTATTGCTTAGATTTAGCAGGTATTAACCCGTTAATATTAAGCTTCTTAATATATATGGATACAACCTGGAAATTCTGATGCAATTTTTCCTCATCAAATTTGATTTATTATTCCACACAGTTTATATATTCTTTTATCATAATATTTTTATTATTTAATACATTATTTTGTACAGGTGCCATGATAACAAGGACCACGCATTAACAATCATCTAGAGGGATATCACCATTCCCTTAAGCAATTGAAAAAAAACCCCACCCCCACATATATTTATTAATTTGGATTTTAAAAGATAATCAACACCTAACTCAACTTAAAGTAATACAAATTAATAATGGAGAAATCGTGACCGAGAGAAACAAAAAATATGTTATAATTAATAAAAAAATTGTAAACCTAGCAGTATTGTATGATATTACTTATGATTTATTTTTTTTATTAACAAAGTGTCTGATTTAATTAAATCATTATAATATAAAATACATATTGTTAAATGTAAAATATTTCTATATATATGTCGTATTGGGATATCATGTGGGATTCGGAATCCCAACGTGGGGATTCGAGATCTTGAATCCCCACGTTTTATTCGTAATCTATATTTAAATATTTTTTTTTAAATATATTCCGCATGAAAAAAAAATAAATAATATTACTTTTTCTTCTCTTTTTTGCCGTCTGGCTATCACCATATAATTAAAAGGCCAAAATAAGGGTTTTAAAAGAAAATTTAAAAAAAAAGTAAATAGTATAAAATTAAGGCATATAACGAATGAAAAATAAGGTTAAACATTTTTATTTTTGTAAATCCGAATTAAAAAAAAAATTATTTATTGCAATAATTCTTCAATGCTATATGACATTTCGTTGAAATTTAAGGTTGTTCTTGATACACTCGCACCTATTATTCATGCAACCCATTTTGCAATTGCATAAAGATGTTTTCACAAATTTTGTGACATTCGGGGAAGCTCCCAAATATTTTTAGCAGTTTAGATAAAAAAATAATATATTTTATGTACATGAATTAATTTGAGGAGTATATGTGCTTACTATAAAAATAGCTTAAATTACCTATCATTGATATATCTTTGTTGGGAACTTTAAAATCATTTAATTTTATAGTTTTATATAAACTAGAGGCAATAAATGGTGCTGAAATTATTCCAGCACACATTCCTACCGATATTTTGTTCAATTTTTAATAATTCCCTTCTAAATTTTTAGAAATAAAATAACTCAGAGACCTGCAGAGGTACCATTTGCACGCCCGGCCCGGGTTTTTTTTTAAAATAAATTATATATATTTTTAATATTTGGTTTTCAAATTTACTGCCCAGTCTGGGTATTTATATTAAAAAAATTAAAATACGACATGACCCATGTATACCCGGACCGGGCTTAGGGCCGGACCTGCAGGTCTCTGAAATAACTGATATGAATAATCAATAACATTAATTTTAATATAAATTAATAATTGTATTGGGTAAGATTTTTTCTCATATAATTTCTAAATTATTACATTTTGAAATGAAAATTTATTTTTAACATGAATTAAAAATCTTATTGGACGGGATTTTTTTTTCATGGAATATCGAAATTATTACATTTTGAAAATTTATATTAATACAATTATTTTATTTTTAATATTAGTTTAAAAATTTTTTTAATGCCTCAAATTTTTTTTACGAATATAATTTATATAAAATCATATTAAAAACACCATAATACAAATCTATTCAAAATATACGGAAGGAAATTATTTTTATATTATCCAACATAAACTTCACTTTCATAGAAAATTAAGGAACCCCATTTCCTTTTCATTAATCCTTTATATATTATTTTTTTTATATTTTTTTTAAATATGAGCTATGAAACCCCCGAAAAACTACGAAAGTATTAATCCATCTCTTCTCACCGTATCATGACCTGATCTTAATCCTTCGGACTCTACCCTCTTTCGTATTTGTTCTAAGTGTCTAACTCCTTCCTTTTCGGACTTTCTTAACCAACTCTTAACAAGTGACACCATTCTTTCCTTTTCAGGTGGTATGGAGACGCCAAAATGTGACTCGCCCCTATTTCAGCACAAAATAACTTGAACTGTCCACTTATGAAGGCTAGACCTCCATCCGATGATATTATATTAGCCCACTCCGAACCGATCCCAAAGATTTTTCAACATCTTTACCATAACCTGAGTTGTCAATTCCCTCACTTCTTAGCACTCTTCCCATTTGGAAAAAGCATCCACCACAAGGAGATATATTTTATTTTCAAAGTCGAGAAAGTCCAAATGTATGCGTTCCCAAGGTCATGTCGCCTTATCCATATCCTACTCTTATCTTTATAGTGCATACTGGCCCATGAATTACACATTTCACAAATTTTCAATCTCTTTGTTTATGCCAGGCTACCACACATATTAGCGCCCCCATTGTTTCATTCGATACCCTGATGCCCCTCATAGATCATGGATAACATTGTGAATTTCATCGGTATTACTCCTCGATTTCCTCGAACCAATCATTCATCTACTATAGCCAGCTCTATTTATCTCCATCTCTCCAAGGTCTCCGGCCTATCACGCTCCTTTTAATCCTCATCAGTTGGCGATATTTTTAAGTGGCCTTCTTTAATTCCTACCATGTCACTGGCCCGCCTTTTTATATCCCCGCTATTGCACGAATCAATTTTTTTTTCTTTCCTCTCCTCCCCATCTTATGCTTTATTTCTTCCCTATACTCACCAGCTCCACATCTGGAAAGAATATCAGGTAGATAATTTTCTTTTCCTCGCCTATATTTTACTTGCACGTCAAAACTGCATACCAGTATAAACCATCTCTGAAGCCTAGGCGATAGCATTAATTCTTTATTGTTCCTGAAATGATGGACCAAGGGTTTGTGATCCCTATATATAATAAATCTACGTCCAATTAAATATCGACACTTAGTCAATCCAAATATAACTGCTAGCGCTTCTTGTTCGATAACCAAATATCTTGTTTCTGCCACCCTAAAAATTCTTGAGAAAAACAAAATAGATCTCTCAAGCTCGTCTATGCAATGTAGCAATCCACAGTCCTTTTAGAAGCATCCACGGATAATATCACTTCCAAATCGTTATTAAAATACACTAAAATTGGTTCTTCCAATTCTACGTTGCTCTTCGAAAGCCTCCTCCTGGTTATTTTGCCACATGAATTTTTCTCCTTTCTTTAACAATTTATATAATGACGCCGCTATTTGCTCAAAGCCTTCCACAAAACAGTGATAATAATTTATCATTCCCAGGAAAGATTGTACCTCTACTAATTATTAGGCTCATCATGCTTGTTATGCCCGCCATATTTTTGTCTAAGGGCCTCACCTCCTTTCCAGTGATTTTATGACCTATAATACGATTTTTGACACTCCTCACACTTTTCTCAACGCTTGTCCATAATCCTTTATCTCTTATTCTTTTGAATACTTCCTCCAATCTTCGTTCATGTTGCATAGGAGTTTCTCCTATCATTAATACATCATCCATGTAATAAAATACTCCTTCAAGACCCTCTTTTGTTGAAAAATTGGAGCCGACATGCTAAGTTCAAACGGTAATCTTCAAAAGCATACAACCCCTTCGGAGTAGTGGAAAAGTATATCTACACTTCAAATTGGCTAATATTATTTCCTCAACTCGAGGCAACGGATATTTGACCTCCATCACCCATGGGTTTAGCGTGACCCGGAAATCTGCGCATAGGCGGAGCTTTCCATTGGCTTTCTTCACGGGCACTAACGATGTCACCCACTCACTATATTTCACCGGGCAAACAATGCTCTTCAGCACCCATTGCTCCGATTCCTTATCCAATTTATTTCGCCATTCAAACAGTATTCGTCGCAACGCACAAAATTTTGATAGTGTCCATCCTTTAATTTGATACCCACTTCGTAATTACTGAGACATCTAAAATTTTCATCAAAGATCTCCTTATAATTATTTAGCAATTTTCGCACTCCCTCTTGCACTCTGATTATACCAAACTCTATCTCTTTATTTTGACATTTCCTTTCTTCATGAAGTTTAGTCTCTTTCCTTTCACTTCCACTCCTTGGCTATATGTTCTTCTCCTATTTCCTGGTTCCATATCACTATTTTCTCCAGCCCATCCTTCTGGTAGCTCTATTCCATCATTTGGCATTTCATCCAGTTTCACTACAAACTCTTTATTATCATAAATTTTTTCCTTCTCTTCGATATTAAATTTTCCTTCCTATTAGTCACGACAATCCCTAGAATTCCACCCCCTCCCGATTTCTCCCCTATAATTCCCCCCGATATCTCCTCTAGAATCTCCCCCGATACCTCCCTTAAAATTAGCTCCGATATCTCCCCTATAATTCCCCCCGATCCCGATTTCTCCCCTAGAATTCCCCCCGATATCTCCCTTATAATTCTTCCCGATATCTTCCCTATAATTCCCCCTGATATCTCCCCTATAATTCCTAAACCCTCTACCTTCTTCTCTTCCTCTTTCTTCCTTCAATAAGGTCTCAATTCCCGGAAATTTTTCTCCATGCCAATAATTCATATCACTACTCACCTCACCCCATTTGATGGGTGAAAATACACCACACCACGCGAATACACCCCAAAAATTACAACCTGGACCTATATTCGGGTGATCCAGTCTCATCCCAATACGGCCTCTATTCTTTGGTATATTATCTATAAATCCAATATCTCCACTCTATCCTCCAACATTACCTTTAACTCTACCCTTTCCATCATTGCTATCTCTGATCCATTCAACTACCGGATCTTAATGTCCTCACGTTTAATCATTCCCTCTGACCAAATACTCCGATATTTCTCATATCCAATCACGGAGATGGCCGCTCCGGTATTAAATAACATGGATACTATATTTCCATTTAAATTTATCCACACTCTATGACTAGAATCATGTACCATCTCCTCGTATCATATTTATATATTTTGATTTCTCCTTTTCATCTCTATAATCAACTCTTCCTACCTTTTTAAACCACCGTCTCTCGACCTCTGTGGCATTCTCTTTGCCATCATAGTCACAAATGCTCACACTCCATTGCCACATGTCATTCCTTGCGGAATCGAAAGCAGATACTATTTAGTCTTTTACTCTTCGTAAAATAAAGTATTCTTATATCCTTATTTTTCCCACTCTCAATAATCCTCACATTCGGAGCATTTTAACCCATGTCCCTCTGCGGGAAACCGCCTCTTGTATTAAAAATGTCAACATTGCATTCCTCCCTATTATAACCGTATCATCCACAACCTGCACATAGTAATTTATCACGTTTTCCCGGACAATACGGGGCTATATGTCCATGTTTTCTACATTCGAA